GGGAGGGAATGTAATGCAGAATGGGGGGGGATCCGGAATAAAAAGAAAGTCGAACTTGATTTTAGTGCAGAATGGTGGGGGAAAACCTGGATTGAAAAAAAGGTTGGATTTTGATTTCAGTGCAGAATTGCTTGGAGGACACCCGCGGTGAACAGGGATTAAAAGGAGAGTGCAGAAGGGGCCCATGGTCTCCTCAAACTGCCACCAGCTCTCCAGGGTCTCAAGAAGAGATCTTTCACATCACCTCCTGCCAGATCTTTTAACTGGGGGTGCTGGGCACTGAACCTGGGATTTTCTGCATAATCTCCTGTTGAGCCATGGCCCCTCCCTTCCATGGAGGGGAGGAGGGCTCCCTCAACTGTAGTTGGGACCAAGTATGACGGAGGGGTTCTTCGCCTCTGCCCCAACAGCCCCACTGAAGATGCACGGAAGGCGGAAGGATGGGGCTCTCCGCTGGGGCTGGGTACGAGGGCGGGGTGGCACGCCACGCATGACCTAAGTGGAGGCGGCTCCTTATTATTTCAGAGTTAGAATATCAATGAAACCTCTGAGTCATCCTGCGTAGGCACGACACCTGATGCTTATGCTTAGCATTGTTGTTCAGTCGCACAGTCGAGTCCGACTCTTCGCGACCCCATGGACCAGCTCCCGCCAGGCCTTCTGGTCTTCCGCCTTCCTCTGAAGTTTGCTCAACTTCATGTTCGTTGCATCTATGACACTGTCTAGCCATCTCATCCTTTGCCGTCCCCGTCTTCTTTGACCTTCAATCTTTCCCAGCATCAGGGTCTTCTCCAGTGAGTGCTCCCTTCTCATTGGGTGGCCAAAGTATTTGAGCTTCAGCTTCAGTATCTGGCCTTCGAGGGAACAGTCAGGGTTGATTACTTTTAGGATTGACTGATTTGATCTTCTTGCAGTCCAAGGGACTCTCAAGAGTCTTCTCCAGCACCATAGTTCAAAAGAATCTATTCTTCGCCACTCAGCGAAGTATAATTCTTAGCATTATATATAATGCTTAGCATTACTACTGTGCTATCACGGTTAATCTGTTACTGTCCCTTTCCGAAGCGAATGTCATAGAAGAACAGGAAATTAATTATGCACACCTTGAGCTAAGGTGACATTTTGTGTTCCATAAAAATGAACTGTTTTTGTAGTATATGGAACTAAGTGGAACTCCCTCTTTTCACATGAATAGGTGTGTATTCTGGAATGCGCATGCTAGTAAGAACTGGGTTGTTGGTGGCCTGGACGCCAGCCCTTGCTAAGTCTAGGTTGTTCCCTGCCTTGCTGTTCTGGACATTAAAGAAGTTTTTGAAGACACCCTGTTGTAAGGGTCAGGACTTATAGATCTTGAGGCTTCCATTAAGTGCCATCAGGCTGTAAGTTTTTACAGGTTGGTTGCAGCCTGTTTGGGCCAAGCATTAATTAGAAGCACCTGGTGGCCTTGACCAGGTTGCCAGCTAGCAACGGATTAACCAACTACACCTGGATTGGCTGACAGGGCCATGGGGGAGGACAAAAGGGGGCTGACGGAAGCTAACTATTAGGACGGCGGTGATATCAGAGAAGACCTGGGTCAAGGCCTAGGGGACCTCAAGTAACAACGGGGACGGCCCTCTATGAAGATCAAACTACAGCAGTATGGTGGATCGGTACCGCTGGACTGGGACAGTGTAACATCTCCAGGACACCATCTTGCTTTAATTGAAGACAAATAGCATTGAGCACTTCATTATGTAGAATTATTTGTTTTTATTCTTTTTTTTATGTATCGGCACACGGTGCCCTTGTTTGTGAGTCGCCCTGAGCCCATTCGTGGGGAGGGTGGGGTAGAAATTTAATTAATAATAACAACAACAACAACAATAATAATATACTAAGGACTGTCCCAGTCAGAATGGACTGTCTTTCTTAAGCCTTCGGGGAGACAGTCAAGTAGTAAGATTGCCCTCCCCCGAGGGAAGCCTGCAAGTATTTGGTGATCTGGAGACTTACCTTTTGCCCAGCCCAAGTGGTTGGTTTTTTTTTCTTTGCTATTTTTTTCTTTGCTGTCTGGAGAGTGATTCCTGCTTAGCAAACACTCTTGTTATTTGTATGCTTGAATAAATGCAGAAATGGGGTTTAGCCTGTTGTGTCAGGAGTACTTGCTGAACTTACATCCTCAAAGGGAACCCAGAAGCTAAAAAGCCTCAACAAAGGACCGGGACTCAGTGAGACCCCCAAGGGCTCCAGGTGGCTGTGAGTTCAGTGCCTCAGAATGGGAGGAGGGTTGTCCTTGGTCCAAACACCTGCCTTCTGCATCTCTCTGGCCATAGGCAGACCATTTACCCGCCCTCCACAGTGAGTACACTCTACGGAGGAGCCCTACACTACAGTTTTGATATCTCTAGTTAAAGGATCAGGATCTGAAATGCTGGCTATCAAAAGGTATGAAATGAAAGTTTATGCTGTAACTATGGAACTGGGGGGAACCCTCAGTTATTTCCCCAGATGTTCAGTTTTCATAGGTAAAGGTTCCCTTGCTTGAAAGCCAGTCAAGTCCGACTCTAGGGTTGCGGTGCTCATCTCCGTTTCAAAGCCAAAGAGCCAGCGCTGTCCGAAGACGTTTCCGTGGTCATGTGGCTGGCATGACTAAACATCAAGGCGCACGGAACGCTGTGACCTTCCCACTGAAGTGGTACCTATTTATCTACTTGCAATTTCTTGCTTTCGAGCGGCTAGGTTGGCAGGAGCTGGAACTAGAGACGGGAGCTCTCTCTGTCATGCGGCACAATCGGGTCTCGAACTGCTGAACTACTGACCTTCCACAGCCTGCAGTTCAGCGCCTTAACCACTTGAGCCACCGCAGCTCAAGTTTTTTTTCATCTTATATCAAACACCAAAAAAAAAAAAAAGTCCCAGGCTCAGAAAAGATATGGTGAGGTCTTGTTTTTTTCAGAGTAGTGCTACTGACCGCATTCTTAACCAGCCCTGTGAAATCCAAGTGCCTTTTAAAATAAAAGAACCTCCAGTCACGGCCAGTTCCGGGATTGGGGGGATTCTGGGCAGAGAATACCCAGGGGGTCCCTCTCCTCCGCTAAGCGCTACCAGGATGCCCTCTCATTCCTTCCTTCCAGCCCACTCACCTTCATGGGGGTTCTTCTCACTGAACATGTATCCAGGGGTCTTTTGGGGTCGGAGCACACCAGAGCACCGCTCCGGCAGCCCGCGTGGCGGCAAGCCCCGCCCCCAGCTGTCTGTGCCGAAAGTGCTGCGGCCGGGGGAGCGCTGCAGTTCGGGGGAGGCCCGAGAGCCCTGCCTCCGGGTCCCCCAAGCCTGCGCAGAAGCGTTGCGGCTTGGGAGAGGCCTGAGAGCTCCACCCCCGGGTCCCCGGAGCCCGCGCAGAAGCGCTACAGCTCGTGGGAGGCCCGGAGAGCCCTGCCCCAGGGTCCCTTGAGCCTGCGCAGAAGTGCTGCGGCTTGGGGGATGCCCGGAGAGTCCCGCCCCGGGTCCCACGAGCTCGCGCAGAAGCGCTGTGGCTCTGGGGAGGCCCAGAGAGTCTCGCCCCTGGGTCTCCTGGGCCCGCGCAGAAGCGCTGTGGCTCGGGGGACACTCTGAGAGCCCCGCTGCCGGCTTCCCCAACCCCCAACAAAGCGGTAAGTAAATGATCCGTGGGGGTGGGGGCGGCAGGGGCTTGATAGGGGGTGGTTGGAGACCCTTCTCTTCCTTCCGTCCTCTCTTTTCCTTCTCTCTTTCTTTCATTTGCCTTCTTCTCTTCTCTTTTTTCCTCCTTTCCATTTTTCCCTCCTTCTTCCCTTCTCTCTCTTTCTTTACCTCCTTCTCTCCTTCTCTTTCTTTCCCTTTTCCCTCTCTTTTTATCCCCTCTTTCCTTCCTTCTATTCTTCCTTCTTTCCTTCTCTTTCTTTCCCTCTTTCCTTCCTTCTTTCCTTCTCTCTACTCTCTCTCTTTCCTTCCCTCTTTCCTCCTTCTGTGGCCCAACTCTAGTGAGAAGGGGTTTAAAGTTTAAACCCATTCTCTTTTCGCTTCCCCCCCACACAGGTCAGCTGGGGAAGGGGAGGGGAGGCTTTTGAAGATGCCTCCCCCCTTTTGCTTCCCCTTCTGACATCACTTCCGGTGATGTCAGGGGGATGGCATATGCTAATAGCCTGGTAGCTCATTAGCATACCATCTTTTTCTATGAAAAGACCCCTACATATATCCTTTCCCTGATGGGACTGGGTGATGTGTGGAATGCCACCACTGTGCCCATCAGGAGGGCCACCATTATACACTGCTTGCATGTCGAGAGCCAGTTCGGTGTAGTGGTTAAGAGCATGGACTCTCATCCGGGAGAACCAGGTTTGATTCCCCACTCCTCCACATGCAGCTGCTGGCGTGACCTTGGGTCAGTCACACGTTCTCTCAGAGCTGTTCTCTCAGGAGCAGTTCTTGAAAGAGCCCTTTCAGCCCCACCTACCTCACAGGGTGTCTGTTGTGGGGAGGGGAAGGGAAAGGAGATTGTAAGTCACTTTGGGACTCCTTCGGATAGTGAAGGGCAGGGTATAAATCCAATTTCTTCTTCTTCGCCTGGCAGTGTGTGGTTGGGGAGTTCTGTGGTAGTGGGCCCTAGCAGCTACCCACCTCAGGGTATGCTGACGCCAACCCTGCCCCCAGAACTTGGCTGGCTGAAAGTGCTTGTGGCAGCCATAAGGACTTTGTATTGTGTGAACCTCGGGTACGAACCTGCACTAGTGCCCTGTGTATGTGTACAGCTGAGGCTTGCTCTTGCACACAGTCCCCGAGAGAAGAGGTGTAGCTTTAAAGCTCCATAGCTTGAAAGTTCTGCTTTTGCAACAATGCCTTACAATTTAAAGTCCATTATTTTAAAGGGTTTCAAAGAACACCATCTGATGTGTATTTTTACACAGTATCTTCAGAGGATTTGGAAAAAGAATGCGGGCATCATAAAGTACCACGTTCTTAAAAGGAGCTTCTACTGAGAGGAGGAAGAAAAGGTATCGATGGGGCAGGTATGGAAATGTCATCTTGCATTAGGCAGGCTTAGCAGACTGCTCTGTGCAGGGGAGACATTGATTTTTGACGGTTGCCAGCACTCTTGAAAAGAACTGGGGATGTTTTGAATAATCCAGATACAAATTCTGACAGTCGCATTATCTTAAAAGTTCACGACCGCCAAGAAAAATACATTTGCATGACTAAAGGATGAGAAATGCACAGAATGTTCAAAATTTCTTTTGAACTCTGGCTTCTTATGATTTCACCTGGAGAAGAGTTTGTGCTTGCAAAACAAAACTTATTCCAGTCCTTTTATAAAGTAGCTTTAACCAGGTAGAATTTCTTTTTAAAGTCACTACGGCAGGGGCTGTTGGAGTGTTGGATTCGGATCTGGGAAACTTGGGTTCAAATTGCCATGAACCTCACTGGGTGGCCTTGAGCCTGTTACTTTCTCTCTTAGCCTAACCTGCCTCACAGTGTTGTGGTGAAGATAAAATGGAGGAAGAAAGAATGATGTACATCACCTTGAGCTCCTTGAAGGAAGGGCGGGATAAATATGTGACTGATAGATCCCAACTCAGCCTCAGATCTCGGAATCTAAGCCTCAGAAAACCTCGTAAACCTTGCAAATTGTCATCTGGGGAGGAAGATGTAAGTGTAAAAGTGAGACACAGAGCTGGTTGCAGGTTTGCGTGGGCTCCCTCTAAGCTGTGGAGCCTTGTGAGCAAAAATTCTACTTTGTGAGCTACTGACATTAAAGCTGTGAGTGAGCAATTTGGCTGCTGCATAAATTAGTTTGCTCTGAAGCCATCCTTCCTGAGCTAAGAAAAACTGTGTGAGCCGGAGACTAAAAAACTGTGAGCTAGCTCACACTAACTCAGCTTAGAGGGGACACTGCGATTGAGTATAACTGGTCCCCTTTTCCCCTTTGGAACACCCCTTTTGCCTCTAACTGCACCACTTAGGAGGGCCTGGCATGATGTGGTCTACGGGGTCGCGAAGAGTCGGACTCAACTGTGCGACTGAACGACAACAGCATACCCCTTACATTTGGCCCCCTCCTCTTTCACTCTACCTTTTCTTCTTTGGCCACTCCCTTTTCCATTCCAGTGTGCTTCCTCTGATAAAGAGATCATCCCAAATCTTGATTTCTTAAGTTATTTTTATTACTTTATAGAAACCCAGAGGGAAGAAGACATGCCTTCTATGATTTTTTGGGAATGCTCTTCAATAAAATTGACATCATTTGTATAGAAGCAATACAAATCTTGTTCTGGGGGAGCCTCAGTTTAAGAGTATGCAGAAAAGTGTCTTCATTCTCATCACTGAAGGTGAGGAGGCCAATCCACATTGCTCCAAAATGCTTAAGCAGTTGAACAATCCCACCGCATCAGTTTAAGAGTATGCAGAAAAGTGTCTCCATTCTCATCACTGAAGGTGAGGAGGCCGATCCACATTGCTCCAAAAGACTTGAGCCGCTGAACGATCCCACCGCACTGCAGATTTTCCTTTGGAACCATCCAATAGAGAGAAAAGAACTTAATTTTATCACTCAGCCTAATTTTATCACTCAGCACAGCATCAAAGGAGCTATAGCTAATACAAGAAAATTATTTTTAATTTGGAGAAATGCATCACTCAGGGTTTTTTTTTAAAAAAAACCAAGAGTAACATCTTTGATGCTGCTAATTTAATCCTCCAACAAATATCACAACCCAAATCTTTAATCGGAGGTTTCACACATTTGTATTTTTTTCTTTTTCTTTTTTTTTAAAAAAATCTCTATTAAGTTTTTTAACTGTTCATTGCTTTGAGGGCCCTAGCTGAGTACGAAGAAGGGTAAGTATGTCACATGGGCACATTGCTGAAATGTCCACCGTTCCTCCCTTTTGGGGGGGGAAGTCCCCCCCTGCTGGCCAGCTGATCAGCAATGGAGAGATGGGGCCTGGCAGCAGGGTCCTCCCCCCGCCCCCACCAGGGGATCTGGCATCCCTACCTTGGATACACTATTAAAGAATGCGGTTTGTTTGGATCTGATGAGAAACCAGTTGTTCTTTTACTTGGGAGGCAGGCGCCTAAGACCTAACTATGCTAGCCAACCCCGAGTGGCTGGAAATGGCCCTTAACATACACACACGCTACAAAAAAAATTCCTTTGCTATGATAGAACTTGTCTGCCGCATGCACCAGCACAAGATTCCAGTTGTGAGGAGAGCAGGTTGCAAAGAAAGCCTGAGGGTTGTTTCCCCCCCTAGAACAATGGCTTTGTTGCCATGCAGCCACTTTATGAAACATTTCTGAAGACTCTTAAGCATAACTGCAAAGCTGGGCTGTGAAATAGGGACATGGTCAGTTAAGGACATGGTCTGAACGGTAGCCGTGAGACAGTGCCATTCTACTGGACTGTAAGCATGTGCCCAACCATGTACTGAAGCAGCATGCCAAGCCAGACGTGGACCCATGGACTACCAGATGCCTCTCACTCCTGCATCTCTGCAGCCATAGGCCAGAAGGCAAGCAGGCCTCCCTGACCCTGTGATACATGGAGCCAGCAGCAGTGCAATAAGAGAAGCCATGCTCTGCTAAGAGAACCAGGATATTCCTGCACAGATGCCATGAAAAGCTCTCTTTCCCATCACACAGGCATTTCCCCCCATTTACATATTAACATCACCCCATGAAGCATGTACCCATCTTCAGCCTAACAAGAGAACTTACTCCATGATGGGACTGATGAGCAGCCACATCCTCCAGCCGCCCATCCAGATAACGCAGCTGTTAAACATCGTATCGTTAAGACCAACTACCGGCAATGGGGATGGGATATTACTATTCTTTTCTCTTTTTTTGTCTTTACCTGTCCCCCTGAGAGGTGAATGCCTTTTCCTGACCCATCAACAGTAGATGTTTTTCAATGTTTCCTGGGGACTACGTGACCAACAAGGCACCCCCCTCAGGTCACCTTTTCAGGTATAAAAAGAGAGCATTCAGCCATTGCTCTCTCTCTCACACTTCTATCTTCCTGACCCCCCAACCTATCTTGCTGATTCCATTCCTTGTGCGGTTTGGGACCTTTCATGTGTGTTGCTGGCCAACTCACGATCCCCTCCCTTAGTTTATCCCTTTTTCGCTGCAGAATCAACTCGTCTTGTCGGACAGATAATGTATTGCCCAACCAATGATATCTCCTGCTAATGCAACCATCTCTGTACCTTTCTATCCAAATTCCTAGATCTGTATTGCTTGTGTGTATGCTTGATTTTTATATCGTATGTGGGAGAATCATTAGTTTAAATAAAAAAATCACTGCTTTAGACATCTAGCCTCAGTATTTATTTCTGGGCTCTGGGTAAACTAACTCCCATATACATAGGTTATTGGTCCCATAGCTAATGCCTATTGCCATTTAAAGATTCGTAATTCCCCACATTTATTAAGAAATAAGGCAATTTGGCTAACAGCTTGCACTCCTTTGGCACTATTATCATAGCACTGGCCACAAATATTAGACACCAGCAACTTTTCTGTCACTCCATCCAACACAATGCTTGCAAGACCTTTTCCTGTTGTATCTGTGACATGCAGAAATTCCAAATATTCTACTTGATGTCCACTGGTTTGCTGTTAACAAAGAGAGGGGGACCGTGTGTGTCATTAGAAAGGCAAATTGCCTCTTGGCACTTTTGTGACAGCTTGACATCCATCACCACAAAGTAATAAAGATGCCATTCTCCACTTTACTGTAGTGTGAAGTTTGCGGTGTTAAAAAAAACCCCGCTATTATTTCCCAAGCAGGGATGTGCCTTGGTATGTGCTGGACCCTGCCCAATACTGACACTGGCACTCAGAGAGATCTGAACATCACCTTCTTGTCACGTGTGGTTTGGCTTCTTGCCTTCTAGTCCCTCCCCTGCAATGATTAAGCTTTATTTGTTAAGAAAGAGGAAGAGAAAAGCTAGAAGTAAGACAGTTGCCAAGCAAGACTTATCTCTTCAAGAAGCATTTCTCTGGTGTTTAGAAGGCACAGCAGCAGAAACTGACGGTAAGGCAGGAAGCATTTGGTTTGGATTGCAGCTGTTGACATTTTAAGGACTTCCGCTTTTGTTAAACTGGCGTTTATGCTTTTACATGGCATCAGGTTGCAGGTTTTTCTAGACTAGAAGTAGTCAGGGAGGAACCTTTACTTGTGGGATTGCTGACTCATTGCAGCTATGAAAGGCAGAGGCATTTTGCCTTATAAGATCTCTTCAAACATTACAGAGTACACAGGTTGGTTGCAGGGTCCACCACCCTTGTTCTGTGTAACAGTCACATGTGTCTTGAAGGTTATCATCTGTTCTCATGTATGTACCTACCTCACCGGGTGTCTGTAGTGGGGAGGTGTTGGAATTGCAAGTTACTTACACTTTAGTCATTACAGAGTTAAATTTTGTTTGTTAGCAAACAGGATGTTACGTTACATAATGTATTCAACCGCGGGAAAGTTTGTGGGAGTTGTTTATCCTAATGAAGTGACCTGTAACCTTTGTATTGGTCAACGAACATCTTGTTTGTAGAAATGCTTTGATCTAGCATTAATGTATTCACAAATTTATGGCCCTTTGTGTGAACCAAAAGCGGTAGTTCTTTTCTAGAAGCCAAGAGAGATAGAAAGATGTAGCTGTTAGCATATATTACTGAGAGTAACTGCAAGTATGTAACCTTTTATTTTATTTCTTTTATCCAAAGTACCATACCCATGTTTTATTTTGTTTTTTTAGTAAAGATATTTTTCTTTTACTAAGTGTGGCTGTGTGTTTGCAATACAACCATCGACCTTGAATTAAGAATCCCAACAGGAGGGGAAGGGAAAGGAGTTTGTAAGGCGCTCTGAGACACCTTTGGGTAGTGAAGGGTGGGGTATAAATCCAATCTCCTCCTCCTCCTCCTCCTCCTCTTCTTCTTCTTCTTCTTCATGTGGTGTTTAATTCAGATTGCGACTGTGGCAGAGATGGAGAAGGGTCTTCAGCAAAAAAACCCAACCCATTTTCCTGACCTGAAATGATCCATTGGCGTGTTATTAGGTCTGCTTGGTAAACCTGCAAGTATACATGTGGATTTCCCCAATGGACCGATTGCCGCACCCATGGAACCATTGTAGATCAGGAAAACAAGAGAACACTGTAGCCCTTTCTCCATATGTGCCACAGTCATGAACTGAGTCAGGCACTGCTTAGATGGTAAACTGAGAACCTGGAGGTCAAGTGGGACTGTTACATGGGACACAAGCTGGACTTGCTATATCCATCCTGTGTGCTCCGTAATGTGTGTAGAGAAACGTTTGTTGTCTTTGTGTAGAAGTCCATCAGCTTCATAATCATTAGTAATCAACGTCTGCTGGAGACACCTGCTGAGGCACTTCCCCCGGCCGGTGTACAGTACACAGTCATTTCCAAGTTACATGAAGGGAAAAGTTGAGAGGATTAAAGAGTTAAACAAAATTAGAGGAGTACAGGAATTAGGAGGTACCTGTTCACCTGAGCAGCTAATGGAGGGAGTACCTCAGAGTACAAATCTAATAGATTCAGATTTATTTATTTATTTAAATTTATAACCCGTCCTGTTAACTGTTTGATTCCTGACGTTTTAATTTGTTCTTACCATATGTTATTGTTGCTTGTTCTATCCCGGTGTTGTGAGCCACCCGATAAAATAAATCAATAAAATAAAATCATGTGTATCTGATCCAGAAGACAAGAGAACCACGCAAAACCCTTGAACTTTGACGATACAGGAAGCTGTGGGCTTCTCGGCTGACGCCAGTCGCTAGCCCTGGACATCGGTCTAGTCTGTTTTACTTGCTTGTGGCGGCTCCGCAGAGAAGCCTCATATGCTGCATTGGAGGTGAAGAACCAGAATGAACAGCAAGTCACCTCTGGTTTCTCATGGGGACAAACTAGATGAGCTGTTCCCAATTGGTGATCAGATTGCCTACCTTTTAAAATTCCTATCAATAGTGACAGGACAGGAACAAATGATATATAGACATTGACAGTGGGAGGATTTAACCTCTTTTCTACTGTGCCTTTTTCCTGATATGAATCCCACACATCCATTCAGTTGCTATTTAAACAACAGGGGGGGAAACCATGTATACCCATATGTTTTCTCTACTGGGATCAGTCAAAGATCTGTGGGGAGCCATCTTCGGTGAGAAAATGGGGGGAAGGGATGTAAGTCCCTTCTCTCAGTGGTCCTTCACAACTGGATTTTCCTGTGCTGGGCAGGGCAGTCCAGAAGGTGAACAGTGTCCAGGGCTATTTTTGGGCAGGAACGCACAGGAACGGAGTTCCGGCTGGCTTCAGAGTTGGCCACGCCCACTACAGCTGAAACCTCTGTGCGCGCGGCTACAGAGGGAAGGGCTGGAGAGCGACTCCCCCCCCCCAGCAACTCCGAAGCGGGCAGGCCAGAGGGGGGCCCTGGAAGGATCGGGGAGACATTTAAGGGCCAGCTTGCCAGGCATCCCACAGCCGTGGGGCAATTGGGCAAGTCAAGGGAAGACATGGGGGCGTGGCCTAATATGCTAATGAACTGTGCTGTTGGGATGTGGCCTATAATGCTAATGAGTTCCTGCTGTTGGGTGTGGCCTATTATGCTAATGAGTTCCTGCTGGGCTTTTTCTACAAAAAGAGCCCTGACAGTGTCTATAGTGAAACAGTAGTGCAATATCCAGCAAAGGCTTTACACACACACCACCGGATATATGCACCCTTTGGTGCCGTAGCAACTAGTCTCTCTTGTCCACACAGGACAAATGATGGCTATAGTACAACAATCATGCTAACACCCTACAGTGTGTGGGTCTAGTGGCCCTACCATGAAATCTGCAGAGTATACCCAAGGCAGAGGATACCCAGTGAGGTTAGGTGGCTGAACAATCAAGAAACAGCAGAAATTGAGCCGTCACGGCCAGTACTGGCTCCGGGGTTTTGGGGGAGGCCCTAGGCAGACAGTGCTTAGTGCCCCCTTCGGTCTACCACCAACCCACCATCATGCTTCTTTTCCATCCACCCACTTGTATGTTCCCCCACCTGTCTATGCATCCTTTCCCCTGTCGCCTGCACCTGCTCCACATTTAGGCCCTTTCCCTGACAGCATTGGCTGATGCATGCATCTTGTAGATATTTTGGCTTCCAAGAGTGCAACCACTGTGCACCATAAGAACATAAGAGAAGCCAATGTTGGATCACACCAATGGCCCATCCAGTCCAGCACTCTGTCACACAATGGCCAAAAATACCAGGTGCCATCAGGAGGTCCAACAGTGGGGCCAGGACACTAGACCAACCCACCACACCTGCTCCACATTTCAGCCCTTTCCCTGACAGCATTGGCTGATGCATGCATCTTGTAGATATTTTGGCTTCCAAGAGTGCCACCACTGTGCACCATAAGAACATAATAGAAGCCAATGTTGGATCACACCAATGGCCCATCCAGTCCAGCACTCTGTCACACAGTGGCCAAAAAATACCAGGTGTCACCAGGAGGTCCACCAGTGGGGCCAGGACACTAGACGCCCTCCCACTGTTGACAACCCCCCAAGCACCAAGAATACAGAGCATCACTTGCCCCAGACTGAGAGTTCCTATCTATATCTTGTGGCTAATAGCCACTGATGGACCTCTGCTCCATATTTTTATCTAATTCCCTCTTGAAGCCATCCATGCTTGTAGCCGCCACTTCCTGTGGCACTGAATTCCATTTGTTAATCACTCTTTGGGTGAAGAAGTACTTCCTTTTATCTGTTCTAACCCGACCGCTCAGCAATTTCATTGAGTGCCCATGAGTTCTTGTATTGTGAGAAAGGGAGAAAAGTACCTCTTTCTCTACCTGCTCTATCCCATGCATCATCTTATAAACCTCAATCATGTCACCCCTCAATCATCCCACGCACATGTACTGCTCTGTCAGTGCTGGGAAGCAGGAAGCATGAGGGTGGAGTGTTTGCAAGCAAATGACAAGTGAGGGGCATTTAAAAAGTTGGCTACAACAACAACAGAAAACTGGCTACAAAAAAATCCACTTCATGTTACTATTTTTTTGTTGTTTGTTTGTTTTTGTTTGTAGTGGTTAAAACAAGCTTGTCCATATGGTTGCCAGCCTCCAGGTGGTGGTGGCTGGAGATCTCCCAGTATTACTACTGATCTCCAGGTGACAAAGATCAGTCCACCTAGAGAAAATGGCCACTTGGGAAGGTGAACCCTATGACATTATACCCCATTGAAATCCCTCCCCTCCCCAAGCCCCACCCTCCTCAGGCTCTGCCCCCCCAAATCTCCAGGTATTTTCTGACCCAGAGCTGGCAACTCCACTTGTCCAACATGACCTGCCAGCCATAGCTACGTGTTGTAGTCTACCAAAGACTCAATAAGCTCTGAGGGTCTGATGCCTGCCTATAATTGTGAGAACAGAGAATCGTGAAGAGCATCACTGTCTCCTGGCTGCATCCTACTCAGTGTCTTACAAGTTGTCCAGTCCTGGGCTAAAAGAAGGCTAAAAAAAACCCATTTTGTCATGCAGGTAAAGAACAGGGCATAAGTAACTGATGGGTTGTCATAGCAAGAGGTTAAACATAGTAAAATATCCCCAAAATAGCTTTGTTAATCTCCCAGAGAGAAGTGGTCAGAAGTATGATTGCTCCCTTTCACTTAAAACAGTGGTGATTTTTAATAACCCCCCTCCTTTTCCTATAATGTATGTTTCTTCACAATAGGATAGGTGGAAGGTGGCCCCTGCCTTCACCTTCCTGCTCTTCATTGTGTTTTTGCTGAGTGGCACATCCTCTGCTCCAAGTGAGAGACGCAAGCTGCTGAATTATAAGATCAACCAACGACACATCTGTTTGGGTATGTGTTTAATAATGAGGAGGTGGGGATTGGCTTACCTCGTGTGTAATCGTATTGAAAAAGAGACAATAGACGGCATAATACGCCTACTGTTAGTATGTCTTTGTAACAGCACGGTTCGAAGTTCAGTCTCTTGTATATTAAGAGTAATACCTATGAGGGGAATGGAGTTGGGTGGAATGTTACAAGTTCATACACAGGGCTGTTTCCTTCACACATGATTTAGGTCCTGGCAAGTAATTACTGAGTTTGAATGCTCTTCCTACAAAATTTATGTGATTTTAAACGCTGGCAACTTTTTGGCACCAATTAGTGCTCTTATGTGATATTTTTATGTTACTTCCCTGTCACAATTAGTTAAAAATATTGTGTTGCACTGTTTTTAAGAGATTGTTCTTCATATATTTCATTTGTATTTACATCATCTGTACTTCATTGGAACTGTAACTTCATCGGATAAAGCCTTATGAACCCCTACTGATGGATCAGTCTACCAGGGGCTTGGTATTATTTGGCCAAACAGCAGATTTATGGTTAAGTGGTAGTCTATAACTATGCAATGAGTTTAAAAGTGTCTTTGGGACATCTTAAATCCTGGCCAGCCTACCAGGCAAAATATTCACCATATTGCATAATGGAGCAGGGCTGTTTCCATCCCACTCCCACCCCTGGTTTCATGCCTATCCCTACTACTGATTATCATTGTTTTTTGCCATTGAATTTAGTATATCAAATATGTTAAGGAACAGAGGTAAATCTGTTCAGATTTTGATTAATTAGGAGCGGAACGTACGTCCCTTGTATTTTGCTAAAAAACAGTGATGATCAATGGGCCTTATGGCTAATTTTCTGACCACTCTAGAATGGCAACAGTTTGTTTCTGGCAAGCATTTACCATAGACGTGCATAACATGGGGCCCCCAAACTGACCAAAGCCCAGTATCAGCCCTGTACTGTGACCAGACAGGTCTTCACAAACTCCCATGTTTGCCCAGTTCTAGTCAGCAGACACAGAAAAGATTTTGAGCCTATGGTGGTAGGGAACAGTGGTGTCAAGTCTCAGCTGACTTATGGTAGCACTGTAGGGTTTTCTAGGCAAGAGACGTTCAGGGGCGGTTTGCCACTGCTGGTATCTGTGTAGCAACCTTGAATTCCCTTGGTGGTCTCCCAGCCAAGTAGTAACCAGGACCAACCCTGCTTAGGTTCCAAGATCTGATGAGCCTCAGATAGGCTGCTGTATTTATCTGGTAGAATGAACCTGACTTGGTGGGTGGATAGAGAGGGCTTCCTTTAACAACCAGGTGACAGGCAGAAACTGTGCTGTTATCAAACTAGCATGATAGGGGAATGAGGCAATTTCAGTCCTAACCACTCAAGAACGATGGTTTCTTTTCAAAGTGGAAGCCTGATTGTGTTGATAAAAAGGTGGCTTGGTTGTGTTTCAGGGAAGGAATCCATCCTAAATAGTCCAAAAAACAGGATGTCTCCATTACTGTGATAAAAACATTTGCTCACAAATGTGCACTGCAACCAAAAGAAGAGAACGCTGCTATGCTCTATTTGACATTATGTCCTTGTATTTTATTACACTCCGAAGACTAATAGAACTGTAGGAGCAGAATCTCGTCTTCTCTAAAATTAGTTTCTGCAGCTCGCAAGTAGATACTCCCTGTGACATTTCATTTTCTGAAAACCGCTCCTAGATATGCACCAAATCATTTCTCAGCAGAATTTCAGCCATGAGCTCTCACCGCAATGCAAGAGCTTAAAATTGTCCATCTACCTGTCAAAATAATGCAATTGGATGACATGTCAGATTCTGTAAAAATGTATATAAATGCTGGATGCAATTTTACTTCCCAAGTTTGATGTCTAAATTAAGAAACCTGTAGAAGTCTGCAGGAGACACTGGTTGGATTAGGATTACCAACCTCCAGGTGGAGGCTGGAGATCTCTTGGAATTTCAACTGATCTCCAGACTGCAGAGCTCAGTTTCCCTGGAGAAAGTGGCTGCTTTGCAGGGTGGACTCTATGGCATTATAATCCCACTGAGAGGCCCTCCTTCCCCAAACCCCACCCTCCCCAAGTTCTACCTCCCAAATCTCTAGGAATTTACCGTCCCTCTAGGTTGGATCCAGCCAGCTGTTTCTCTCAGGGTGCGTTCAGATGCGCTGTTTCAGCCGGCATAAACTGCTCCAGTTGGAACCAGAGCAGTCTGATCTGGAAGGAACGCGATCACACTCACCTCCTGACTGTGCAGCACATCACAATATGCCCTTTCACACGTCGGTGGTTTAAATTTTTTTTTTAACATTTTACACATGCACATAGGCAGCCATCCACAGAGTTGAGATCTTCATGTAGGTGCAGAACACCCTGTCCCGAAAAGCGTGCTGTGAAGCGAAGACGTCCCTTTAAATTTCTACTCTGAAACTGGCCTCCGTGAGGTCCCGGACTCGTCTAAAGCCTTATACTAGGCACATTTTTAAAATTATGTTTATGAAGGACGGGTTAAGCTTCGCCCAAGCGCACATCGCCTACTAAAAAAAAATGGCGGCCGAAAAGCAAAAGCCTCCAGCTTCCGAACGGAAGTGGCTAGACACCGGCGAAGAGCAATCAGACGGGGATAATGTGGCTGGAACCAGTGCACTCAGGATTCCACCACTTGGGGACCAAGTAGCAAAATACAATGGTTTAAAGGCTGTTTGCAACGGTTAGGGACGGAAGGCAGATGTTTGCCGTGTGATCGCTCGTAAGTACACCGATTCCAACCGGCATCTATACCGGCATAATTGCCCCATCTGAACGCACCCTCAGACTCCACAATAGCCTCCCATTGCATACAGCTGGTGTACATGCAGGTCTCATGATTATCAGAATAGCCTTTTTGAGTGGTCAAAGTGGTCTCCATCCTTCCTTTTTCACCAGCAGAAAGACTGGTTGGATGCAGCCCATCATGACTGCCATTTCACAATAGCTAGACTTGGCATTCTTACGATTTTAGTAAAAATAAATAAATCTAGAGACACATAAAAGTTGTCTGTCAATCTCATCCGAACAGACCTTTCTAGCTGTGTTCTGAGGAACAAGACACATGGAGACTAGGGCCAGATGGCACCACTCAAAACAAGGAGGCAGCACGGTTTCCAACAGGAGCACACTTTAATAAACCCACTTCATTCTCTGGAGCTACAGTCAGTAGAACTTCCTTTCTCCCTGTTCCTGCTCACACCAAGTCCTGGAGCGGATTAGGGCAGTCTAAAATACTGGGTGGAAGGAACAGAGTTGTCGAAACATCACAGCCACGCTCACAAATGTATAAAGGCTTGGATCCGCTGCACCTCTGCTCTGCATGCACTTCTCTCTTGGCACTGTGGAGGCAGTCCTCTGCTGTGGCGTTTGCTTCCTCACACTAGGCACTTGGAGGCTCTTTGGGGGGGGGGG